CTCTTCTTGAAACAAGACAAGTGAGTAACTTGAAGAGAGAAAAGAGAAATTTAAAAACACACAAATAGATGAGAGATTGCACAACGCATATGTTGTATCTGCTTCCCTTACCCTCGCGCGTGCCTCGTTCAGTTTGAAAATGCCATGGATAACAAACAAGGAGAAGATGGCATCTCCACCTTCCCGCTAAGTGTAAGCATATCCCCCACAACAACATAGCTGACATTTGAAACAGAATCTGCGGGTCATGCATTCAAATATTGTACAGATCGAAACATGCCCAAGCGGACTAGTGCCGAGGTCACGGCTTGGGATTTCCCAGATCTGAGTGTAATCTACCTCCATTCCCACCTGCCTACCTATCGGAGTGTATGTCTTGTTTACACATGTAACCTTTTACCTGTCGCTCAGTCCCAAAATATGTTCTCCTCCCTACATCTATCTATCTATCTATCTATCTATCTATCTATCTATCTATCTATCTATCTATCTATCTATCTATCTATCTATCTATCTATCTATCTATCTATCTATCTATCTATCTATCTATCTATCTATCTATCTATCTATCTATCTATCTATCTATCTATCTATCTATCTATCTATCTATCTATCTATCTATCTATCTATCTATCTATCTATCTATCTATCTATCTATCTGTCTGTCTGTCTGTCTGTCTGTCTGTCTGTCTGTCTGTCTGTCTGTCTGTCTGTCTGTCTGTCTGTCTGTCTGTCTATCTATCTATCTATCTATCTATCTATCTATCTATCTATCTATCTATCTATCTATCTATCTATCTGTCTGTCTGTCTGTCTGTCTGTCTGTCTGTCTGTCTGTCTGTCTGTCTGTCTGTCTGTCTGTCTGTCTGTCTGTCTGTCTGTCTGTCTGTCTGTCTGTCTGTCTGTCTGTCTGTCTGTCTGTCTGTCTGTCTGTCTGTCTGTCTGTCTGTCTGTCTGTCTGTCTGTCTGTCTGTCTGTCTGTCTGTCTGTCTGTCTGTCAATGATCTGGACTCCCAAATCAACTATAGAAAACTACTAGTCGACTCGGCTTAGTCCGCATGACCTACACAGCGGTGATTTGTCGACAACGAATACGGGATGAGCACCATATGTCCTTACAAACCACAGTCATTGAACTCGTATCGCCTACTTTTACCTGAATGTTATCTCACCTGAGTGTTCCTTCATGCACTATTCGCCATATGGCTAAGAGTTGGTACAAATGAGAAAGCTGACATAGCGAAGATCGCCCACTTGGAAATGTGTTCCCCCCTTCTTCAACAATGAATTCCCACTTTGTGTTTGTAGCTGCACATTTTTATGGAATGGAAATTCAGGCTGTGAATTCCATGGATCCACTGGAAGCTCTGCGGCGCTGTTTTAGGCAAGACAAGATTTGTTTTTAACACTGGGTGCGTTGGTGTGGCGCTGGGAAATGATTGGTATTGCAGAGAGGGCTGGATTGTGCAATTCTGTGGGTTTTTTTTTTTAAATTCCCTCTCCCCCATCCCCCTCCCCCCTTCTCATCTGTCTGTCTGTCTGCATGTCTGTCTGTCGGACAGCCTGCCTCCCCTCGCTCCCTCTTTAGTAAAGTGATGGCTGCTCCAAACATTCGACTGAATTAGTGCTGCAAGTCGGACTAGCACTGTGCAATTATTGTTTAAAATTATGTTTCTCTCTCCTTCTAACTCTCTCTCTCTCTCTCTCTCTCTCTCTCTCTCTCTCTCTCTCTCTCTCTCTCTCTCTCTCTCTCTCTCTCTCTCTCTCTCTCTGTGTGTCTCTCTCTCTCCCCTCTCTCTCTCCTTCCCTGAACCCCTCTCTTGTTCAGTAATGATTGCTCAAGATGTCTGACTTGTTGACGTTGTTTGTGACACTGGATATCTGTCGGTTGTTTCAAATATTCAGGAGCAAACAAGCAACAGTTAAATGATAGACTCATATTAAACAATAGGCGGTGACTAGACATGTTATGGTGATCTGTCTGTCTATAGGTCCTTCTGTCTGTCTGCCTGTTGTTCACGCACCAACTCTACAAAACGGTTGTGCACACTGCACTCATGCTATGGAACCAGACAAATGTCCAGAGATGGCCGGATATCCAGAACTTTCAGCTGAAGTAAACACTCGGTGAACGCGAAGAAGACGAATAAGTAAAGTTCATTGTTCTTTGTTTCTTTTTGAGATCATCTTCCTCGCACATCGGACATGACCATAATTGCTCCGATCTCCTCCTGAGTATATCTCCAAAACTAACAACTCCCATTCTTCTGTGGATGATGTAACGACGACTGGCTCCCACATTGTTCTTCTGTCTCGCGGCTGCAGTTACTACACCTAGGGTATGCAGCCTCTTCAGTGAAAAATCATTTTCCACGAAATTGAAGAAGTAAAGATGATCGTGTGGGGTTTCCTTTTCTTCAACGTATGATGAGTCGGTCGGTACTGACTGAGTTACAAGGAAGATGTTCTAATTTTATCCTTCTATTTTTTTATTTTTCAGATACCCGACACAGTATGTGTACCCGGCGTCATACATCACAGCGGCGTCACCGACCTCACCTGTACTCACCACACTACCAGCCACCAGCCCACTTTCCCCCACACCTGCTGGTAAGTCAGTCTACCTAGTTACCTAGGCTACTTAGCTGAGTGTCTACCTGTTTAAGTAACTACTAAACTGTCAATATACCCAGCTACCTAGTTGATTATCTGTCTGCTCGAGTAACTACTAAACTGCCAGTATACTTAGGTACTTAGTTGACTATCTGCCTGCTTGAGTAGCTACTAAACTGCCAGTATACCTAGGTACTTAGTTGACTATCTGCCTGCTTGAGTAGCTACTAAACTGCCAGTGTACCTAGGTACTTAGATGACTATCTGCCTACTTGAGTAACTACTAAACTGCCAGTGTACCCAGCTACTTAGTTGACTATTTTCCTACTTGAGTAACTACTAAACTGTCAATATACCCAGCTACCTAGTTGATTATCTGTCTGCTCGAGTAACTACTAAACTGCCAGTATACCTAGGTACTTAGTTGACTATCTGCCTGCTTGAGTAGCTACTAAACTGCCAGTATACCTAGGTACTTAGTTGACTATCTGCCTGCTTGAGTAGCTACTAAACTGCCAGTGTACCTAGGTACTTAGATGACTATCTGCCTACTTGAGTAACTACTAAACTGCCAGTGTACCCAGCTACTTAGTTGACTATTTTCCTACTTGAGTAACTACTAAACTGTCAATATACCTAACTACCTAGTTGACTATCTGCCTGCTTGAGTAACTACTAAACTGCCAGTATACCTAGGTCCTTAGTTGACTATCTGCCTGCTTGATTAACTACTAAACTGCCAGTATACCTAGGTACTTAGTTGACCATATGCCTGCTTGAGTAACCACTAAACCGCCAGTATACCTAGGTACTTAGTTGACTATCTGCCTGCTTGAGTAATTACTAAACTGCCAGTATACCTAGCTACCTAGTTGACTATCTGCCTACTTGAGTAACTACTAAACTGTCAATATACCTAGCTACCTAGTTGACTATCTGTCTACTTGAGTAACTACTAAACTACCAGGATATCTAGGTTCTTAGCTGTGTGCCTGCGGCCAGACAGCAAAACCATACGGAAGCTACCCGTCATTGCATTAGCCAGAGCAGAATGGGATTTGTTAGCCTAAAATCATTTGGAGATATTCTCAGGAGGAGATCGGAGCTATTATGGTCATGCCCGATGTGCGATGAAGATGATCTTAGAAATGGACCATAAACAATGGACAGTTATGCCATGGGGAGAAATCAAAGAGTAGACTCAATAACACATCATACCTTGTCCAGGATGGCAGAATTAAACATTTCATTGACTATATAATGTGCTGGACAAGACATCAAGTTTTCAGTCACACGTGAAGGTACAGGAGGCTGTTCACGACAGTACAGGACGTTGCAGAACCAACCCCAACAGCTCCTGGGCTGTTGTGTGGTTTTTCTAGGCAAATTTACGTCCAGTAGTTTGCCATTGCTCTCTGGATGGTCGGCTTTCTTGATTCCACTGTCGAAACCAACGCAAAGCGCATGGCCTGCAGCTGGGATCGAACCCGGCATCCCGACATAAGGAAGCGTTCGCATCGACTTAGCCACGCAGTCGACTCTTGGTAGATACATTAGTTAAAACACACAAATGGTGTTTAAAAGCCAAAGGGTCAATTTCATGGTTTCGAGTATTATCTTTTATGGTTACACTTTTGCCAGTGAGGCACTTGATCTTTCCTTGTTTCCCCAATAATGGGACCACGGAACCTACATTTATAGTATAATCACTACTGCACACTTAAACAAGGCTTGAACCTCTCTAGCCTTCGCCAACTAAAAACTATAGGTGGGCTGAGTTTCTTCTCCTCCTTTTATTCTGACGCATCTGGACAGCAAGTGTAATACTAGCCACTTATCGAGGGTCTACCGTTTCTCTCACTGTGGAGATAAGAAACTCCACAGGGGAGCATGTACAGCAGGAGTCTACCAATCATCAGTAGAAGTAATCTCTCGTCAACAAATGTTTCGGCCCACGAGCTCCTATACATTTTCAGAAAGTGGGCCCACCTGAGTTCATGAGGCTCAGGGTTGGTTTCTCCTGCTGCACGTATTATTACGGATGTTCTCGGACAGGGACAAGGCGAAATTGGTGACTTTGCAAACGGTGCTGTGAGATACTGTATTAACATAGTCGCTGCGGTAGCATTATTAAAGCAGTTTGCATACCTGCAACGACCAAGTGGCAAGTTTACGGTTGGTTTATTGGACACATATTAGACTTTGTTGGCAGAGGGACACTGGCAGACAATTCGGACACGATGGACTTTTAGGAATAAGACATTCTTTTCCACTAGACACCCGCACCAGCTCACCGAGGCCCGTACCCCACGACGTTTCGCTGTGTCCAGAGCCAGCTCGAGGCCCTCTCAGCAACCTCGCCTAGTTGTTTTAGTGCTCTTTTGCGCTCATTTTCTCGAAAGTCTAGTTGTTTAATCACATTGTACAATGAAGTGGAAAAGAGACTTCTTGCGCTTACCTCGACGGCGAAGATTCTTACTGTGTACACTTCGTCTCTCCTCAGACCAGCCGCTAAGTCACTGTACTTCTCGAGCTTGTACATATGGCTTTCGTCCATTCGCGACTCATACGGCACGGTCAGCTCGATCAGGATGAGCTGACGTTTCTCCTCAGAGTGTAGGACTATGTCAGGTCGCAGGCCAGTCTTCCGGATTAACTCAGGGTACTTTTCATGACCAGGCAGGTCAACCGCCAGTAACCAGTCCCTCGCACAGTCTAGCATCGATCGAGCGAATGCGACTTTGTTGAATTTACCTTAATAAATATGCCCAGCCTTAGGGAAAAGTATGGGGACGACGGTAGGACTGGCCCTCGCATTGGCCCTCATCCTAGCTTGGTCCACAACAGCCGCTAACTCTTTCAGCACCTTGTTGTGGCGCCAAGTGTACCTGCCCTGACCTAGGGCTTTTCTGCACGCGGACAATACGTTCTCGAGCGTCTGTTTAGCGCTCTACATAGCGGGCATGTCAGGTCGTTAGTCGCACTCCACTTTACCATGTTAACACCAGGCGGTAATGCATCGTAGGCAGATCGAAACCACCAAGTCGTCTTGTCTCTGGCCGAAAGTAAAACACCATCCGGTAATTTCGTGCAGCAGGGAACCAGCCCTGAGCTTCATGAACTCAGGAGGGCCCACCTCCGAATGCGTCTAGGAATCGTGGGCCGAAACGCGTGTCGACGAGGATAATTTCTACTGATGACTGGTAGATCCCTGCTGTACTTGCTCCCTGTGAGTTTATTCCTATCCAAGTCGCAGCGGGGCCATTCGCCAGATCTCACCCTATGTGAGTACTCGTGGCAAGGCGCTCTCTAGGCCGATCCACTGGCCTTGCTGCGACTGATGCGCGGCTTTCTAGACCCGAACCTCGTTTTCGGAGTCCCTAATCTGCTGCATCACCATGTCTCGCCGCTCTCTGGCTGTGGCTTTAGACCACCAACTGACTTTCCCGTGCCCTAGGCTTCGACGGTCGGTTTGAGTGTAACCCATCACCTCTGTTAATTTTCGTGCATTCTTGGCAGATTCGATCGCATCTAAGACCTTCCATTTGACGCCAATCTTAAGAGCGGGCTGGACAGCAATGACAGTGGGGTCTGCAGACTCTCGCAACAACATGGCGAGTCTTACTTTGCCGACTTTGTTATTGATTTGAACGGGAGTACCAGCTTCGTCTGTTTACAATACAGAGCCACACCTTCTTCTTCTGCCTTTCTATCCCCCAATGGAGCATAGGCCCTCAACCAACTCACGCCAAGTCGTTCTATCCTTCGCCATTGCATGGAGCTCTCCTCATGTCCTCCCAATTTTTCTACCCTTATTCTCCAGCTCTCTTCTCCATGTATTTTTTAAAAACACACACACACAAAAAGAAGAGCCACACCAGTCAGACAAATTGGTGCTCCCAACGATTTCCTCATGGCTGTGTTGATTTTACGCTCCATTGCCTCCACTGCCGCCATCGTCACTTCGAAGACGAGCAGCGGTCAGAGGAGCTTTGGGATCAACATAAATTGGAGACACCAGACCTTAAACTTCCCGATCAGCCTGCTTCACTCGATCGCGAGCAGTCCTGTAGCCAGTGACTCGTGCATTCGCCGGACCTCCGCTCTATCAGATAACTTCGAATCGTAAATGCGACCAAGGCTCTTCGCCGGTTCCTCTAGAACCGTGGGGATCCGATTCCTTACCACCATAAAACTGATCGCCGCCACTTTACTTTTTAGGATTGACAGACTCCTCGACTTCTGTGGTTTAAATTGCATACCGCTCCATTGGACCACATCCAATCTTTTCAGAATCGTGCGGACAGACTCTTCACTGCCCGTGATTAAAGTCGTGTCTTCCATAAATCCACGTAGTGGCGGCATCCAGTGATCCCCGATTTAAAGGCCTTGTCCGTAGCGGGCCGCCTCGTCTAACATAATCTGCGTGGCCATAACGGACAGTATTGGCGAGATCGTACACCCCATAGCTATCCCAACTTGGAGCTCAGTCCACCTCGTAGTAAACGTCGGGGTAGAGAAGCGCAAAGCGAACTTAGAGAAATATTGCTCGATCATTTCGTTGATCTGTGTCGGTACGTGGAACTGGCGAAGAGCCTGCCTCAGTAGCTTATAGGTAACTGCCCCATAGGCATTGGCGAGGTCCAACCATATCACGTGCAGCTGAGTTCTCTCATGCTTGGCTCTCTGAATAGACTCCTAGATCATGGTCGCGTGTTCAAGGCACCCATGAACGCCCGGGATTCCACCTTTCTGAACACTCGTATCGATGTATTTGTTCGCCAACAGATACTGTGTGAGCCGGCGAGCCATAACCGAGAGGAATATTTTGCCCTCAGCGTTCAACAGCGAAACAGGCCTGAATTGAGAAAGACTCTTCGAGTCTCGCTCTTTGGGAATGTAGACCCCGTTGGCCCGTGCCACTCGAAACATATGTGATTTCGGCTCGACGCTAATCTCAGTAATGACGTACGGAACACCATTCGAACCTGGGGCGGACTTGCCGCTAGCTCTTTTTACAACTTCCTCGACCTCAGACCAAGAGGGAGGTATCACTTTAAATGATACCTTCGGCAACTCAGGCAGCTTCAGGTCGCTAAGGATCTCTGGATTGTAATCGAGAGGCTCATTCCTCTTCTTGTCTGAGTACATTTTGCGTAAATGTGACTCAAGCTCCTCTTTACTGACCACCAGATTCCCCCGACTTCGGTTGCTCGAATAGACCTCGGGCAAACTGGAACGGGTCCTTAAAGAATTCCTCTCGCTCCCTTTTGGTTCTCCGTCTGTTGTTACAGAAACGCTCAGCGCGACAGAGGGCACTGTGTCTGGCTCTCAGGTGCAACCAGACTTCATCCAGCCCTTCCCGTTCGCTGCCTGTAGCGGCTTTGTACCGTTTTCTGAGTGCGTTTTTGTCTGCCCTGCACCTCAGAATGTTCCAATGTCTCCTGTTTGTATCTTGCCTGACGCCATGCTGCGTCTTCTCGACTGTCCTGAACTCGCGGGAACAGTGCTCGTATATTATGTTACCAAACTTTATAAGCTTCTCAGCTAGCGACTTTTTCTCTTTAAATCATGATTTAATTTCTCACATCGTGTACCCTCCAGTTTGCACCACGACAACTTGTCACTCGCAGGTGGAAACCTGATCTTTGAATGCACTTCTCCAGATGTCAGTTATCACCCCAGCGATACCGAGGGGCCAGTCTTTCCATAGGTGTCAAAAGGTCTTTCCCGATAGTCACCAGCCTCTCCTGGTTGTCTTGTGGGCTAGCCACGTACAATAAGAAGAAACTCCACAGGGTAGCATATACAGCAGGTGTCTACCAATCATCAGTAGAAGTAATCTCTCATCGACAAATGTTTCGGCCCACGAGCTGCTAGACATTTTCAAAGAGTGGGCCCACCTGAGTTCATAAGGCTCGGGTTAATATTCTCCTGCTGCACGTATTACCGTATCAATTGTCCAGTGTGCCTGGAAACGGGATCTGTTTGCTTTTACGAGAATTAGATACGCCTATGTACATACTGTATACACATATCCATCGATACATAATTTTAAAATATTTTGTTTTTCAGTTTCTCTTCTCCAAATTTTACACACATAAGTTCTGGCGTGTTAGGGTCGTGGAGGTGTATCGATGAAAGCACTAGCTCACAACGGCGCAATCTGTCTCAAATTCCCTTTGTTGAACAAGTGTGTAGTGATATAGTTCCGTCCATTTCTTGATCTTGTAACTTCATCTTCTTTATTGCACCCCCACCCCTTATTTTTTTCTTCGACTACCCATTTGTTCATTGAAGCACTGACAATGTTTGCAGTCGAATCATGTCTCACCACATACCCGAACCTAGCTAGCTTGCTACGTTTCACCGAACCTAGCTACATATCTACGTTTCACCGAACCTAGCTAGATTGCTACGTTTCACCGAACCTAGCTAGATTGCGACGTTTCACAGAACTTAGCCAGATTGCTACGTTTCACCGAACCTAGCTAGATTGCGACGTTTCACCACTGCCAAAAGAAGCTCCGATGTCCTGCAAATGTGTTTATTTTGACTCTGACATTTTGTTAGTTTTATGCTCCTCATACCCATTTAGTAAAATTAGCTAAATCTAAATAATTTTCATTTGAAAGCCTAAATCCCCTTTTCCGTTTCATGGTGAGAGTGCAAATCTCTTAACCGTGTAAACAAATAGACCATACCAGTGATGTGTATATATTGACCTCTACTGCAGTGCTGATTTGCACCTCCACATCGTATAAATCTGGGACATCGCGGCTGTGTCCATATCATACCTCTCGCAATAGCAAGCCATCTTTTAAAATCCTGAATCAATTGTACCCAAGGACAACATATTTCAAATCCGCCATGCATCAACCAATGGCAGAACGATAAGATTTCTTGAAACTGCCGCGATTGGTCGCTGCACCCGGAACTCTGTATACAGAAAGATGTGGTTCTGACATTACAGCTGCCCTGGTAAAACAGGCAATTGTGTTTGATCGTGGTTAAATTTGTACTTCAGTTATAAAGGATTCAGTTACCTGCTTCATTTTTGTAATTCTTACTGTAGTATGCACCTGACGAGATACAGCGAAATATGCCAGGCAATAAATTGCGCAATCTGTTGTTTGTGTTTCCTTTGTTCAAATATCGTCTTGTTTTTCATTTCTTTGGTACAACTGCCATCGTTACATATGTGGGAGTCGAAGTATTTAAAGGTTTCACCTTCTTCTAATTTTTTTTATTGCGCACTAAATTAGTTTCAACTTCCTTCTAGATTTTTCCCTTTTATCTTTATGTTTTTAGGTAATGGTTTACTGCTGCTATTTGCAGGTGTCTTGCTTTTCTAAGCATACATGTCAGTGCTATGATAGTTTTGTTATCAACTTCTTTGAGTTTTGCTTTGGAACCAGCCATGAGAACAGCTAGGAAATGTAAATTACGTAGCTGTCTTCCGCCAGTGGAATAATAATAGTTTCCAAACAATGCTGATTATGTCACGTGATTCTTACGTGTTGTTATTTGTTATACAATAGCATCGTGGTTATTTAGTGTTTCTCTCATGCTGTGTTCCAAATTCAAATTAAAAATCACCGAGGATAGCATGCAGCCCTGTCTCATCTCCATTACACGTCTGAATGAACTAAATAAGCTAAGTAATAATATTGTGTTTCTTTCAGGAACACCCACACAGTACGCCATAGACTACGCCGCTGCATACTCCGCAGCCACAGCGGCCCAGTTCGCAGCTGCCGGATACGACGCCTACAGCCCATACGCTACCAGCGGAACCACAGCAGGCTACAGCATGGGACTGCCCACCGGCTACACGTATGCAGTACCACAACCACTGGCCGCCAGCACGACGCATTTCGCCCAGTTTCAACCCCAGCAGATTCAAGAACGGTTGCAGTAGAATGGGCGTGGTGGGGATAAACCTTGTGGCGTGTGATTGGTTGACTGCGTCAAAAGAAGGCTGGCCCATGGCTGGAATACACTGCTTAAAAGGAAATATTGTCTTTTCTCTTAAAATCATAATTTAATTGTAAAATCTGCATACAGATCGTTGCATAGATTATTATATATTTATCAAATGCCTTTTATTTACATGCCCAAAAGTTAACTTCTTCATGTTCCTATATTGAATGTCCATGTATATTGCCAATGTAATCAGTTTTAAATTAGATGCTTCATCATGTTGCTATGTGTATGAATGTATGAATATATATTAACATCAGGAATATAAAAATAAGAAGACAACAAAGAACAAATAAATGTTGGGTACAAAATAGGGATAGAGCTACACGAATTTCTTCCAGTCCAAGTGGGAATATGTGATAGAGCTTCACGAATTTATTCCAGTCCAGGTGGAAATATGTGATAGAGCTTCACGAATTTCTTCCAGTCCAGGTGAGAATATGTGATAGAGTTTCACGAATTTATTCCAGTCCAGGTGAGAATATGTGATAGAGCTTCACGAATTTCTTCCAGTCCAGGTGAGAATATGTGATAGAGCTTCACGAATTTATTCCAGTCCAGGTGGGAATATGGGATAAAGCTTCACGAATTTATTCCAGTCCAGGTGGGAATATGTGATAGAGCTTCACGAATTTATTCCAGTCCAGGTGGGAATATAGGAATTTGAATGTGGAAGGTATCAAACAAAACCACAATTTCTCAAGATCAAGAATGTCTTATGCAATCTTATTAAGTTTCTAAAGATTTACAGTCGGTCCTGATGTACGGAGACAATCATGGACAATCAGCAGAAAAGTAAAAACCTTCTGAGCATGTGTGGGAATTTCCCAGGTGCTTTGATGTCAATTCTGGTCTCAACTGAAAGGAAAGTGCCGAATTGTGGTTTTATAGGAGATTAATGAGAACATACCGGACTGATTTAAAAATGTAATACGTATGTTGTGAAATAAATTAGTTAATATGAACCGATTACCACAATAAAGAAGAGAATCTACATTTTCTGGGTAATTAGTGCAGTAGGAACTGGAAGAAGTATTTTTACCAGTTTGGCATTAAGTATAAGATCATCTGTATTTTGAATGATTATAAGTTACACACTGTACTGGTATACATCATTTCAAATACTGTAAGTGATTTTATTGGAAGTTATTTACTTTTCTGTAGCATTTCTGATACATTGAAAAGACGCCTGTTTTAGAAATGGTTGCAAGTTTTCGAAACACATACGATGCGGGCAGACGTGGGGGATGCGGGCAGACGTGGGGGATGCGGGCAGACGTGAGGGATGCAGACAGACGTGAGGGATGCGGGTAGACTTGGGGGATGTGGGCAGACGTGAGGGATATGGGCAGACGTGAGGGATGTGAACAGACGTGAGGGATGTGGGCAAACGTGGGGGATGCGGGCAGACGTGGGGGATGCGGGCAGACGTGAGGGATGCGGGCAGACGTGGGGGATGCGGGCAGACGTGGGGGATGTGGGCAGACGTGGGGGATGCGGGCAGACGTGAGGGATGTGGGCAGACGTGGGGGATGCGGGCAGACGTGGGGGATGCGGGCAGACGTGAGGGATGCGGGCAGACGTGAGGGATGCGGGCAGACGTGAGGGATGCGGGCAGACGTGAGGGATGCGGGCAGACGTGAGGGATGCGGGCAGACGTGAGGGATGCGGGTAGACGTGATGGCTGACATCACACAACATGGACTATAAGAAGACAAGGAAATTATGTACTTTTTTTAAATTATCCTACCCTAGATGACGTCACAGGACAGTCCAACATTTTATACGGTAGTAAGACTAGGTTTCCCCGCTTTCTAATGCTTTTAACGAGCCCAAAACATATAGAACTGACCCTAACCCCAACCCACCTACGTCCCACGAGAGAGAGCGCAGCCTAGGTCCCACGACTGCATGCAGCCTAGGTCCCTCGACTGCATGCAGCCTAGGTCCCACGACTGCACGCAGCCTATCTACCATCCCCTGAAATATTAGACTGTCCCGTGACCCGTGAATTTTCCCTGCTTGGGGTAGGAAATTAAAATAGCACCGGATATATTACTAGACTTACAATTCGTAAGAGCTTGACCGTTCCCTGTAATTATTTATTGAATGTCTTAGGTAGCACGCAATTCCTTATCTGTCAGAGTTTTAAGCAACAGGTAATGTACTCGTATATTAATGGCCCACCGTTTTCCTTGTGAATTACCAGCTAGAGCATAATGTGTTGTCCATATTTACCCAGAGTAAACTGTCGGAATCTGTTTAGGCATTGCGAACGCGCTTCGTAATGCCGGGGTGCCGGATTTGATCCCAGCTGCGTGCCTTGCGTTTTGCGTTGGTTTTGACAGTGGTACGGAGAAGCCAGCCGCCCAGAAAGCAATGACAAACTACTGAACGTAAATCTGCCTAGAAAAACCACAACAAAAATGCTGGAGTTGGTTCTGCGACGTCCTGTGAAGGATATACTCAATTGACTTTTTTTTTTAAAACTGACAAACCGGACTGTCCTAGCGGTCGCTTTGATTTACATTCTCTAAATGGAATATGCATGTGCCCTCTGAAAATTCGGTGGTACAGACTGGCACAGAAACAACAACAGTCTGTGTTTTGATAGTGTACACCTGACTGCCATAATTATCTTTCCTGTGCCCGAAAAAAAAAAAAACAGTTATTGTAACACGGCGTAACAGTGGTAAGGTGTCTGCTATTTATTGGGTGGTCTTACCGTTTTGGTTACCATTGTAATACCAACGTCAAGTTTCATACAGGTAATCTCTTGCAAGGCAAAGGTAAAGATGAGAGGTTCGACTTCGTTGCACCGGGTTTTATCCCATACGACCCATTTCTTTCCGCAGAACCTCTGGCTACCTGCCGAGAGTGTCGCACAGAGCACGACTTCCGCAGCTGCCGCGACGATCCTCGTGTATTTCTGTAGAAATTGCACTCCTGAACTGAACGACGCCGCCGTAAAACGAACCCACGACCTACAAAGTGCGAGACAAACGGCTTTGCCACTTTGACCTCCAAAGATAATTTCTTGGAAACCTGAGAATGGAAGTGTTAAAACACCTGACACTGTTCACCTAGAGGGGAACATCTTCTAGACAGGCTATCTCTGCATCAGTTGATGGCATACTGCTGCATAATACGTTTGATGCTGCATCAGTTGGGATGCTGGGACATTTCGGAAGAACAAATCTGTCCTCGTTTAAAGAGAATGATGCAGCGGTCAGTGATTTGGCGATCTTACGGACTCTCAACACTTGGAGGAAAAGCAGCATGGATAAACAACAAGGGTGCTGTTGGTACCATTGTTACTGGAACCACGTACTGGCTGCTGGAAATAAGCATGGTGCACTTACGGGAATGCCCTAAGCTCTGTGACATCCGTTCTTAACTCAGAATTGTTGACCGGTTACTGGAAGTTATGTTATTTTCAGCTCAAAACTATTGTTGCCGTCCAAAAATAACAATCAATCAATGTTAATAATGTCTATGTGTTTTCAAAAATATTGAAACCGTTTTTCCTACATAACTCTAGTTTGGGAGCTAGTGTAAATAATACTCTAATTATTTTTAGTTTTTGTTTTGATGACGCCATTTTGGAATCATTCAAACTACTAGCATTCGGGAGCCCTTGGTTGCTAGTGCCATGCTAAATGTACTGTTACGGATATACCTTAAGAACCATTGCTTACGGTAATATTTTTATATTGACACCATGAAGGAACACGCCTTCTCGTCTCTAAGTCTAGACTTTTGAAAGGTTGATATCATTCTGCTGTCATTGATTGCTAGTTTACTGTTAGATGTATTGTTACTGATATAAGTTGAGGACCATTGCTAATGAAAATGTTTTCAAACTGATAGCATGCAGTGATAAGCTTTCTCGTCCCCAGGTAAATACATTTAAAAGGTTGAACATCATATAATGGATGTCTTTTCATTAGTCTGACATTGGAAATGGTGCTCAATGATGCACTTTAGGGTCAGACTGATATTAGTTAGCAGAAAAAGAGTGTAAAAATAACAACGTCGTGGGGAAGTCATAACAAATAACACCATAAAAAATAACATTGTTGTGTGCAAGTAATAATAAACAACGCCAAGTAAGAATAACAATACCACGGGGAGGTAATAACATATAACGCCAAGTAAAAATAACAACACCGCAGGGAAGTGAGAACAAAAAACACCAAGTAAAAATAACAACAGCAGGAGCAAGTAATAATAAATAACACCAGTTAAGAGTCGCGTCACATAATCAGCATTGTTTGGAAATGATTATAATTGGTACCATTTCATAATCGGAAGGTCGTGGGTTCAAATCCCAACTGTGCCCGATTTTTTTAAAAAAATTTTGGTTCCCAGGTCAACCTAGCTTCGGGTCAGTACCAGGTAAAGTCATGGGAAGTGAAGGCGATCGGTGTGATGTTGATCATATCACCCACCGAGTGCCGATTGGTCTATAAAATAATGGTCTAGCCCTATATGCCTAATAAACTTGACGGTGTTGAAAAGGGTCCCTTACTTTTCGAAGTCCATGATCACAATAGAAAACAATCCACGATCATAATGAATGTATGAATACAGGAGCTAGGAATAGAAAAACACATCAAAAAATGCCACAGACAATAAATAGGTACATTTAAGTGGTGTGCCGGCTAAACTCCTGCCATGTTGATCTAAAGGTAGGTTCGCTTCCGATCGGAGCAGAACTTTTATTTCTTCACAAATTACTTTGATTGCCAAGTCGACCCAACCTTAAATGGGTACGGGGTAAAG